AGCAAGGACACTCCAACAAATATGTACCATATCTTTGAAAGATCTACCCATATACCCTGCAGAAACCTATTACAATATAAAATAACCATTTATGTTCTGACTTCACTATCCTCATGTTCAAGAGAAATTTACAAAACATTGTCACAAAGGTGCAAATAATTCATAAGCTGGCTGGACACATGGAACCAAGGACTGAACACTGATACCGACTCCATGGCATATTATAATCTACCTGACTCCAGATAATCTGCCTTCAAACTACAGGTGACAACAATCCTCTTTCTTTTTGAAAGGTCTTGATCTTCCACTAATCAAGCTATCCTCTGTGATTTGTTTTCTGCTATTCATGGGAATGTCCCCCTTCTCCATTTTCACAGGCCTGTTTTTTCATTTTTTGCTGTGCCTGCTTTTCCTATGCATTTGGTCCAATAAAAGATATCACCCAACAGATAACCTTTCCCCTTGGTAAAATAATTATAATCGATGTAATAAAAGCTGGCTTGAGCTGCCTTTATTTTTTCTCTTCCATGGAGGAAGGAGAGAGTTCCATCTCTCTAGGTACCCAAAATCTGGGGCTTAAGAAAGGTCTCTACCCATTATTTCTTTACTGTTCCTTAACTTCCCATATTCCCTAATGGTTTAAGTTACCAACATTTTTTTTTCTTTCCTTGTAGTCCTGTAGAGGGGGATGGGAGGTGGGGCGGGGGATGCTTCCCTGTTTTGCAGTGGCCTAATTCTATTCCTGCTACTCTGTCCTCATTTTCTTTTTTTCATCCTCTCTCTTCCAAACCCTCCTTCCTAAGGCTACTCTTTTCCCTTATTCAAACTTCTCATTCTTTCCCCCTCATATCTTGTGTGCTGTACCTGAGGTCTTATAAGATGCTCATTATCTGTAGATCTTCACTGTCTGAATGGGGGAATCACCATTCCCATTCATGTTCTCAATCATTCTGTGGAAAACAAGACAAACCACACTGGAACTCTTCACCCTCACCAATCCCACCCTCCTCAACCCACACCCTTACTCTCACTTCCCCAGCCTCCTATTTTTTCTCTTT